TGAATAGCAAAACACTGAATTTCCAACTAAGATCAGCATCAAGACAGCTTACCACGTGTTCCAGCGAGGGCTCTAAGATTATAAAACAAGGACATGCCCAGTGGAAGGAACAAAACTGTCTATTCAAAACAGTTACCTTTTCAGAAATTACTAAGATTTTGCTGAAAATGTTATTAGAATTCATAACTGAGCTTACTAACGTTGCAGAACACCAAGTTAAAATAGAAAAATCAATTCTATTTCTCTAAGTCAGCAACGACTGATTCCTAACAATGACTTTTAAAGCAGCCCTTGGAATAGCACCAGAAATCCCTTAAATATTTAAGTGCAAGTTAGTGGGGAAAGTTAGTGGAAAAACTCAGTTAGGGGGCCGGTGCTGTGGTGCAGTGGGTTAAAGCCCTGGTCTGAGGCGCTGGCATCCCTTATGGGTGCCGGTTTGAGTCCCGGCTGCTCCACTTCTGATCCAGCTCCTGCTGTGGCCTGGGAAAGCAGTAGAAGATGGCCCAAGTGCTTGGGCCCCTGCACCCGCGTGGGAGACCAGGAAGAAGCTCCTGGCTTCTGATTGGCCCACTCTGGCTGTTGCAGTCATCTGGGGAGTGAACCAGTGGATGGAAGACCTCTCTCTCTCTCTCTGTAACTGTCTTTCAAAAAAAAAAATCTTATTAAAAAAAACTCAATCCATATACCATGTTTCCATAATATAGATTTCCATGTACTTTTTGAGGGCCCTACATATGCACGGATTTCAACGTTTTTGCACCAGAATAAACTCATCTTTTAATTTCACTTCCCAGGAATGATCGTGGGCATCCTCATGTACGTGTAACAGAATAGGTGCCAACAACGGGTGCTGAAACCAGGAAGGGGGGAGGAAGACCCTGAGACGTGTTGAGTGTGTGGAAAGGTAGCCGTGTTGCTAAGCCGCTGCTCTTTCAACTCCTGTAAACCCTCAAGGCAATGCTAACAAAATCCCAGTGGGCTTTTTCTTTGGTGGAAATCAACAAATTAATTCTAAAATGTCCAAGGAAAGGCAGGGGACTTAGCAGAGCCAAATTACTCTGGAGTAGAAGAGAGTTGACGGCCTCTCATTACCCGGTTTCAAGCAGTATTCTAAAGCTACAGGGAAAAAATGCGAGATTGGCCAAAGCACAAACAAAGAGACGGATGGGAGAGGAGAGAATCCAGAAATGGATCCACACGTTTGTGGTCCGTTGCATTTTGCCCAAGCTGCCGAGTTTCAGTAGCGAAAGATGGACCTGAGGACAAAAGAGGCCCGGTGCAAATAAAAGCAGCTTGATCCACGCCTCAAACCAGGAGCCAAAGTGAGCTCCGGGGGACCCAAAGCCCCCGATGTAAAACCTTCCCAGGAACGCGAGCCAGGAAGCGCCTGCCACCTCGTATTAGGACAGTGTATCTGTTGGCACGACTGATGGGGCAAATGATTCGGACAGAGACTTCGCACAGAAGACGTGGAAGGCAGGGAGGCGATGACAAGACGCTCACAGTTACCCACTCCTGAGCTGCAAACAAGGCCATGACCTGCCCGATAGGAAGACCCCCAGCCGCAGGACAACAGCGAGCGCTGGCGAGGAGCCCCCGGGCCAGGGCCGTGTGCTGGGGAATGCAGGATGCGCCCGTCTTCCTGGGGTCAGCGCTGTGGCGCAGCGGGTTAAGCCACAGCCTGTGGAGGACACCCCGGGAGTCCATCTCCCCTTTCTGTGCCAGGGCCTGCTCCCCGGCCATGCCCCGGCCGTGACCTGCGTGCGTCCAACGCGTCCACCACGCCATCTGCTCCACTGAGCTTGTGAGAGTGGGAGCCCACGATGCATCCCCGCACCCCAGGCCGGACTCGGAGCCCTGCACCTGCCGGACACGCAGTCCCCGTCTGCGGAGGGAACAGCAGCTCTTTGTCCACAGCCCCAGAAGCCCCGGGCTGTGGCTGCGGCGAGTCTGACTTTGTTTCCCCGCCGAGTTCGCGCTCCCTCTGCTCGTGGAACGAGGGAAGATTCAGCGCGTGTCCAACCTCTCTTCTGGCTCACCCTCGTGAGACACCTTCGGAGCCGCCTCACCCGTCTGTTCTCCGAATCCCGGCAGAGAACATTCTGGTAACTGGTTCCTGGGCCTCTGAACGGAAATCAACAAAGCTGCCCTCCGGCCTCAGGCGCCTGCACCCCTGGGGAGCGTGGGACTCAGCTCTACTGCAAGAGCTCTCCCCTGGCCGTCCCCACTCCCAAGGCCTCCCCCCACCTGGCGCAGTTACCCCACAGCCTGTGAGAGCGCCCCCATTCGGAACGTCGGCTGTGCCCCCCGCAGGCCGGCAGAAACCTCTCCTGTGCCGCCAGTCATTCAGGATGGCACAATGATCTTATCGCTGAGAAACGCGGCTTTCAGATGGGGGCCCCAGGGTCAAAAAGGCACCGTGGGTGGCTCAGTGGGCGATGCGTGGACTTCGGGTCCAGCCGGGCCTGGCCGCAACTTGTGGCTCCCTCACGCACCAGCTGTGTGTGCCCGGAGAGCAGCTGCCCACGTGGAGGTCCCCCCAGCACCTCACAGTCAGGCTCGCCACTGCCAGCACCCCGCCAGCCCCCTCCAGAGGGGCTGTGACCGTCACCCACGCTGCCGCCCAGCCCAGAAACGTGGGCCGCAGCCTGGGCAGCTCCTTCAGCCCCACTCTCCGTCCGGCTGCCCCCTGGGTCTGCCCCGCTGCTCTCTCCTGAGGGCTCAGGCCGTGAGGACGCTCGCTCAGATCTGCCCCAGCTCAGGGTCGTCCAGGGAGCAGATTCCAAAGGCGTCCAACCAGGGCTTAACTGATGGGAGCCAACATTCCGTGTCCCGGGGGACGAGCTTTGGGTGAGCAGATTCACTCACATGCATGTTTTCTAAGATGGCATCCCTGCCATGGGCACTTCAGAGCTTGGTGTTTGAGTCACAAGGTCCTGGGCCTTTCGCCCAGGCCACCCAACCTCCCTGTGTCCACGGTTCTCATCGCTACGTTGGGAAGAAACAACTGTGTCTACTCCTTGTCGGTGGGCAGTAAATGAAATCGCCGATGGACAGCACTTAGCCCAGTGCTTATGTGCAGAGGATACTTGAAAGCAAGCTGCCTATTATTGTAACCACTATTCATGACCAAACTTCACTTGTTTAATTTACTTAAGAAGTTAAAGATTGGGGGCCGGTGCTGTGGCGTAGTAGGCTAAGCTTCCACCTGCCATGCCAGCATCCCATATGGGTGCCAGTTCAAGTCCCAGCTACTCCACTTCTGATCCAGCTCTCTGCTATGGCCCGGGAAGCAGTAGAAGATGGCCCAAGTGCTTGGGCTCCAGCACCCGCGTAAGAGACCTGGAAGAAGCTCCTGGCTCCTGGCTTCTGATCAGCACAGCTCTGGCCACTGCATCCAACTGGGGAGTGAACCAGCGGATGGAAGACCTCTCTCTCTGTCTCTCTTTCCCTCTCTCTGTGTAACTGTGCCTTTCAGATAAATAAAATAAATCTTTAAAAGGAGTGGGTGAGGGTAACAGAGCCAGGAAATCCCAGAGAGCAAAGCTGCCTTCATTTCTGACACTTTACAAAGACGACGGAAGACCCAGGTCTCTTACATTCGGAAAGCTGATCTGAGCCATGCCATCTCCTAAGAGTTCAGAAAATGAGTTCTGCATAAAAATGAGCCACAGAACGGTGTCAAAGTCAAATTCCATAGAAAGTTAACGTACAAAAAGGGAGATTAAAGAGCAGAGTAAGACTCTTGCCAGGAAGGCACAGCCGAAGGCTAAGCCAGCAGAACAGGTCAACACTGCGCCTCTCTCCCACCAAGGGGAGTGGCTTGCTGAACCAGGCCTTTCACCGGCCACACCTGTGCCGTGTGTGCCCCCCTCCCCCACGGCTGGCCACGTGACTTGCTTTGGCCTACCGGACATCAGGAAACCTGATGCAAGCAGAGTCGTGATGCGGACGCACAGACCACGGGGTGCCAGTCCCATTTTCCCAGGCGCCCCAGCCAAGCCCTGCCCCGGCTGCCCCACCAGCTGAAACCAGTGAGATAGTGGAGTTGTGGAAGGTGACACCTTGCTATGGCTCTGAGCTGCTCCGTCTTGACGTGGGTTCTTACAGCACGGCCGATAACTCAGACATTCAGAGCAACTGAGGAAAACAGCATTGGCTGTCAGCATCGCAATACGATAATTAATGAGAAAATTGGACAAGACACGGAAGAACAACACGAATCAGACAGAAAGCCCTCAAGAATGAGGCAGAGAACTCAGGGGTGAAAAAGGTTGAGAGGAAGTGACGAGCCTAGAGACCGACAAAGAGGATCCAACACCTACATAACAGACACCCAAACGGAGAGGAAATAGAACGTGTCCAAAAATGACACTTTCGTGAGAAAGTCCCCAAACAGAACCAGGTTGCAAGGGCACCATGAGCCTTGGCGGTGAGGCCAGAGTGGCCAGCGCCAGTGGGGTTCGGGCACACCACGGGGCTTCCCGCGTCCCCTCGGCAGGCAGAGGAAGCCCCCCTCCCCCAGTGTAACCTACTGCAGACAGAAAGACGTGGAATTGGAAATGCAAGTGGCTGGTGAAACACTGCACAGTGACCCGTAATAACACACACGCGTTACAAGTAAGTAAAGGAGGAACGAGAAACCTTAAAGAGTGAAAAACCAAGGTGTCAGTGTTTTTCTCCTCCACTGGCCCAAGCCCAAGCCAAGGCCCTCTGGCCGCCTGGGACGTCTGCAGAGGACCCTGGATGGGAGGTTCTGCCGGGGGGGCCGAGAGCTTGGGCAAGGCGCCAGCTGGGAGGGGGCACAGCGCATGCTGGGACTGGGTGCAGCCTGGTGGGACAGGGTACGCGTGTGCATGCATTTGTGTGCACGCATGTGTGTGCACACACGTGTGCATGTGTGTGTGTGTGTCTGGGGGGGTGGCTGATGGATCTGGGAGCAACACCGAGGCCCCCAGCACCGGGCTGATGACATCACAAGGCGGGACTCACACACTCACCCATGTAGGGCTTGGTGCCGGCCATGGAGGAAGCCTTCTCCGCCCCTTTGACGACCGTGGCGATGTTGAAGTCGGTGATGTGAACGTGACCTGCGCACACAGACAGGAACCGGGTTAGCGAGGGCTCCTGCGGCAGCGGGGCCATCTCCCCGTGAGGCCCGCAAGGTGCGTGCGGGCAGAGGAGACGAGACGGCCGGGGGACAAGAGCGTCTTCTCCAAGGCCGCCACGACACCTGCTCCGTGTGTCTCAGACCTGGGAGCAGGAAACAACACGGTGGCATACAGAGGCTGGAGGCCACAGCCCCTCCAGCAGGAGGCCTGCGGTTGGTCTGCTGGGGCCGGGGCGGGGTCCCAGTGTGCCTGGTGGACTCAGTGGGGAAGTGTGGGGGTTAAGGGCACCTTGCAGCCAGTGTGGAGTGATGGCGGCTGCCGGAGCCTTGGGCAGGCAGCTGCACCTACCAGGTGGGCACTCTGGAGCTTGTAGAGGAAGGGGAGAGAGAGAGACAGAGAAGGAGGAAGGAGCCAGGGGCTGAGAGGGGCGGGGATGAAGAGGAGAAGGGAGGACAGGAGGGGGACAGGGAGGGAGGGAGGAGAAGCCGGGGTGGCCAGCATTCACTCTCTAGGGAACGAGGCACGGGCAGCCTTGGATGATGGACACAAATGCAGTGACACGCGCTCTCTCTCTCCTTGCGTCTGTCATCCCATCCCCGGGCAAACAGCTGGCGGCATTCCCATCAAGCCTGAGAGCTGTGCCTGGGATGTGGCACTTGCACACGGAGCTGGGTGGCTTTGTCCGGGGAGGGGCTGGAGGGCAACTCCAGGAGGTGGGAAGGCACCTCCTGGAGCAGGTGCCAAAGGAGATGGCTGCCTACGGGAGCGGCGTGCCCGCTGACTGCCCGTGGTGGGCAGAGAAGGCACCTGCGGGCTCCCCTCGACACTGACGTGCGAGCGAGCTGCTGGCCGGGCCCTCTGTCCAGTGTCCCCAGGAGAGGCAGCCGCAGGGTACTCAGTGACGATCCGGAACACTCTCACAGGACTTGTGGATGAAGCTGGGATGCACAGGGTCCCCCACCTCGTCGTGTCCCGAGATCAAGCCCAGCCCACTCCAGCCTTCTGGCTGCCTCGGCCCTCTCCTGGCTGGAGACAGTGCCCTGTTCAGCCGGGCACGCTCCCGGCTGCAGAGGCCGTGTGCAGCAGCCACGGGCTACACAGACTCGCTGCCTCGGGCTGGGGCCTGAGTCTGGCTGGGACTAGCTGCAGGGCCGTGGGCAAGCAGCTTGCTCCTCCTGGGACTGTGTCCTGCTCTGTAGTAACGGCATGCCCATCGCAGAGGTCTGTTGTGGGAGCCAGGGATTTGAGGCACTGCCGACACAGAGGAGGCGGGCGAGCCGCCCCCCTACCTCCTCCCCCCAGCGTTTGCTCGTGCTCAGAACCATCCTCTTCACCCCCTGCCCTCATTTCCAACACCAGTGACACCCGCGTCCCTGCCGTGCACCGGGAGGTGGCCTTCGCCGTAACCCCCCTCCCCTCCCCATCCGGTTCCAGGCACAGCAGCTCACACTTCATTGCAGGAAGGTTCTGGGCCTCCCGACAGCACTTTTTAAAACAAGATTTATTATTTATTTGAAAGGCAGAGTTACAGAGAGGCACAGAGAGAGAGAGAGAGAGAGACAGAGAGAGAGAGAGAGAGAGAGAGAGGTCTCCCAACTGCTGGTTCACTTCCCAGATGGCCACAATGGCCGGAACTGCATCAATCCGGAGCCAGGAGCGTCTTCCAGGTCTCCCGCGTGGGTGCAGGGGTCCAAGGACTTTGACATCTTCCACTGCTTTCCCAGGCCATCAGCAGGGAGCTGGATCAGAAGCGGAGCAGCCGGGACTTGAACCGGTGCCATATGGGATGCTGGTGTTGCAGCCAGCGGCTTAACCTGTTGCGCCACAGCGACAGCGCCCAAAGGATGCTTCTGAGTTGCCTTTCGCCCCTCTCTCTGCCTCCCCCACCCCATGTAATCGCCCAGTTCTGCTGGTTCCTCTTTTATTTCTCCCTGGCTTCCACAAACAATTCGCCACAAGGCTGGGACTGCAGCTGGTTGTTGCAATAGCGAGGTCGTGCCCACTGGCCGTTCTCACCGCTCTAGGGGCTGGAGTCCGACACCCGGCGCTCCCTCTGCACGGTCTCTGGTGAGGGCCCCCGTGGCTGCATCACACACGGGGCACGGCGTCCCCACGGGACTGCTCATGACAGCGAGAGGCCACGAGGCAAGCTGGGGCAGAGAGAGCTTCAGGGGCCAGGCACGCTCTTTCCCAGCCACTCGGTCTTGTGAGAAGGAACTCAGGCCACGAGCCCGCCACGGATCCTTGCTGTGGCTGATGTGTCACCAGCGCCTCCCTCTGAGGCCCCATCTGCTACTCACACCAGCACGTTGGCGATCACGCCTCCAGCACACGAACCCTCGCGAGATCAACCAGGTCCACACCTCAGCTCCCTCGGGTCTAAACCCACCTGACTTCTCTGTGTAGTTTTATTTATTTGATGTAAAATGACTAGTCATCTCTCACTACAGAAACAGTAACGCATTTGACTACAAAGTATAACATTGACTGCAAACCCCTACGGCAGTGTTATCTGTTATATACATTCGACACACACTGTTTTATGTTTTTAGGGTATATAGGATTTAATATAAAGATGTTCTTAAATCTGAAAAATTCTGAATTATGAAAATATACTGCCCTCCCAAACTGCAAAGCAGCCCGTAGTATGGTTGTGTTGTATTTAGTTCAACAGTTCTAGGTGGCTTCCAACTTGGTCGGCTTGATTTATCTTGGTAGGACAGGATATACAGCACTCAGGATTCTGGAGCGTATCCTCACATACTGGTTTTTCCACTTCCACCAGATAAATCCCCGGGAGTGGGCTTGCCGAGCCCACGGCTCTGCGCTGTGCTCCAGGAAGTCAGAGCTTGTGGGCGTGGGTTGCCTGCTTCTCTGTTGTTAGCTGCACCCGGTGCTGACAGTGACTTCAGGCTGCTTAGATCAGGCGGGGAGAGGCGGCGTCTCCCGCTGTCAGCTCCGCCCGTCTGGGCTGGACCCGCCTCCCGTGCACTGCCTCGGCTGACTCTTGTTGCCGGAGCCGCAAGGCGAAGGATCAGCCTACTGAGCCGCAGCGCCGGCCTCTGCTGACTCTTAGTTGGAGCCCCGTGTCTTTCCATTCTCTGCTGAGGATATGAAATACCTTTCCCTCGCCCACTGCCTGTCTTTTGATTTGGTTTAAATGCCTTTGCCATGCACAAGTTTCCAAATGCAAACAGCATGTTAGTCTCATAGTTTCTAGTATTTTCCTTACGACGTCCCAGGCTCCAGAAGCCTACTCCACTAATTTAATTGCTCCCACATTTTTAATCATATTTATAATACTTCTAATTTACCTTCTCATTCAGATCTTAAAACCATCTGGAATATATTTTTGTATATGGTGTGAGACAGCATTCTGAGTTTTTTTTTAAAGATTTATTCATTTATTTATTTGAAAGGCAGAGAGAGAGAGAGAGAGAGAGATCTTCCATCTGCTGGTTCACTCCCCAAATGACTACAATGGCCAGAGCTGGGCCAGGCCAAAGCCAGGAGCAGGAGCTTCATCCCAGTATCCTACATGGGTGCAGGGGCCCAAGCACTCAGCCGTCCTCCGCTGCTCTCCCAGGTGCATTAGCAGGGAGCTGGATAGGAAGTGGAGCAGCCGGGACTCGAACCAGTGCCCATATGGGATGCCGGCGGCTCAGGCAGCAGCTTTACCTGCTACGTCACAACACCGGCCCCAGCATTTTGATTCTTTGAAATAGAAACTTATTTATTTATCTGAGAGACAGAAAGGCAGAGAGAGAAAGAGAGAGACAGAGAGAGACAGAGAAAGAGAGAATGAGCTTCTAACCACTGGCTCACTCCCCAAATGCCGACTATGGCTAGGGCTGGCTCAGCCTGAAGTCAGTAGCCAGAAACTCAATCCAGGTCTCCCAAGTGGGCGGCAGGGCCCCGAGTCCTTGAGCCATCACCACTGTCGGTCAGGGTGTGCACTGGCCAGGACCTGGAGACAGGAGCAGGGGCAGCATCCAACTCGGGCACTCTGATGTGGGCATCTTAACGCAGGTCTTAACCACTGTGCCAATGCCTGCCCCACATTCTGACTTATTCCTTCCAGATAGATAGCCAGCTGTCTCAGCAAGGCTTATTGAAAAAAAAAAAAAGAGCAGCTGTCCCCAATAATTTGTAAAGCAGTCGTTTTATGACAGGTCTTCATTCACGTGGAATCTGCTTACGGTGTCTCTTTGGTCCCACCAACCTACTGCTCATCGCTGAGCCAGCAGTATGGCGGGTTCACAACAGCAGGTGCGCAGGCTCTTGTAAATCTGACAGAGGTGGCGCCCCTCACTGCTCTTTCTTCTCAGTGTATTCCTAGTGACTCCCAGACATTCGCTCTTCTGAATGAACCTGAGACGAATTCTGTCCAGTTCTGGAAAATACTCCCGTTAAAGACTTTGATAGGAATTGCCTTAACATACAGGTCCACATGAGAGATGTGGCCTTTTTTTACCCGGGGTCATGCTCTTGCACTCACCTCCTGCTTTATTCCTTCTGTATTTGTGCAGAGCTATCCTGATTGGCGCTTTATACTTTCTGGGTCAATTGATTCCTACACATTACATAGTTTTGAGCAGTATTTTGAATGGGAATGTTTTCCATTTATTCTTCTACCTAACTGTTGCTGGGGCAATAGAGAAGAGCCTGCATTTTGTACGTTCAGCTCCCCTTGGGCCATGCACGCTGTCCTGGCTGCCCGGCTCCCCCAGGAAGTCCTGGGGAAGCAGACCAGGGCTAGGATGCAAGGGAGCTGAGAGGAGCGCCTGGAGACTCTCCCCAGGGTGCCCGGCTTGTTTTCCTTTCTCCACGCCTGTCCCCAGCCCGGGTCACAAGAGCCACATCATGCCCGTGTCGGAGGTCAGAGAGGTCAGAGGTCAGGGAGCTGCTGCTGAACCAAAGCGGCCAGAGCACAAGTGGGACGAGAGCCAGAGCCGTGGCAGGGCTCCCCGCACCCGCAGCTGCCAGGGCGGCCCTCGGGGGCGGCCGCTGATCCTCCCCGCAGCTCAGGCCGCCCGCGACCCTCTCACGAGCACCCCTCCCCCGCTATCTTCTGGGGAGCACGGTGAACCCATGGCACGGCGGCAGCAGCAGCAAACGGAAGAGGAAACCCAATCCCATCCCACGACAAGGCCAGCCCAAGCTTCCTGCGGCTTCCAGCGGGAGGGAGGCGGAGTTCGCCCAGGTGATGGCTTTGTCCCCTTTGATTCCGCTTCCTCCTGTGCCCTGGCCACGAGGTGGGGACGCAGGGCCTTGGAAAGCAATCCGTCCGGCCCGGGTCAGAAGCTCCTGTCCCGTGTCCCCAGCAGGGGCCAGCTCCTGGCGCCAGCTCCCTGCTGAGTCAGCTGGGCCTCTCGCAGCCACGTGGGAGACCTGGGCTGGCTCCCAGCTCCTGGCTTTAGCCTGGCTTAGCTCCAGCCATTGCAGGCATCCGGGGACATGAACCAGTGCTTGTGAGCTCTCTCTCTCTCTCTCTAACAAACCAACAAATAATTAGGAAGCCCCAGGCATCCACGCGCTTCAGGCCACCCTGTGTCAGACCGGTTAGAACCGGCACTCCTGGGGTGGACTGAGCTGCTTGGCTGCGACGCAGCAGGAACAATGTCCCCTGCCTGGTTCCGTGCCCCCCCCGCCCCCGCCCCTGCCTCAGGTGTGTTTGTGGCAACAGACAGCAGGGGGCAGCGGGGAGGCACACTCAGGTGACAGCGCCCAGCCTTGCTGGGGACGCCTGGAAGACTGCAGAGGCACTGTAGGCAGAGCCGGGCCCCGGCCTGCGGGGGTGGGCAGAGGAGGCGACAGCCACCCTCCAGTGCCTGGCAGACAGCTCCCCTCTGTCCGCGCAGCCCGCTGCCCTGGAGGCCTTGAGTACCTGTAAAAGTCCAGTGAGAGTCACTCACCAGGCCGCCACGCCGTCCACCGTGGCCAGCCAGTCGGCAGGTCTGCTGAGTGTTGTCAGGCTGTGCCCAGCGTTCTAGAACGTAGCTCAGCATCCCACCACAGCACAGGGACAGAGCACAGAGGCTGAGGCCAGGCACACGACGCCTTGCCACCCAACACGTGGGCACAGGCCACCAGTGTTGGCTTCACCTGGACGCCATTGAGGACGCCAAAGCCCACACCTACTGTTGAAGATGCCTGGCGACCCCCATGCTCTGGCAAGAGTAAGAGAGGGCGGGCTCAGAGGGTTGGCAATGACCGAGCTCTGGCCTGCCAGGCTCGTCACCTCATGGTGTCCCCAGGACTGCCCTGGAAGGTGTGTGCCACTTCCCCCATTTTGCAGAAGGCAACGCTGAGGCTCACAGAGATGAGCGGCTGCTAAAGCCACGGGTTCGTGGCCAGGACGCCCACACATCCCCACTGGGCACTGTCTCCGTCACCGCGTGAACAGCAGGGAATTCGGAGGCGAAACCCCAAGCAAGGCCAACCCCACCTGCCATGCAGGGCCTGCACCAGGACTACCCCTTGTTCGTCCACCAGGATGGAACCAAGGTTTGCCAGTCACCTGGCCTCCAGGCCCTCCCGCTCCCGCAGTCTCCCAGGGCCTCCGCTGTCCCCGGCCCGAGTCCCCGTGCAAACCCGGGGCAGGCTTACCACGCTCGTCCAGCAGGATGTTGTCTGGCTTGATGTCCCTGCAGAAGAAAAGAAAGAGGCTGGCACCGGGACCCCGGCCTGTGAGCGCCCGCCCGGCCCGAGGCTCGCCCAGAGGCTGCTGCCCCTCCTGGGCCCTGCAGTGGGACAGGGACTACAGGGGCCACCACAGCGCCGGGCCTCTCACTTCCTCCTCTGTGTGCCCACTGCAAGGAGACGACTCCAGGGCTTGTTCCCGAATATTCTTCACCCGGGGGCTCTCAGCTCCAACCTGAACGGCCGCGGGGTGGCTGGGCGCTGGCGGGCTGGTGGCCCACACTGCTCGCCCCACCCTGAGCTCATCCAGCCCCCTCCCCAGCGCCACTTGGCAGACCTGACTCGGGAGCAGAGCCTGGCCTGGGCCAGGGAAGAGAACGGCGGTGCAGCTCCAGGGCTGGTCCCCCCATCTGAAGCTCTGCTTCAGCCTTGTCTCCCAGCTAAGAGTCCCCGACACCATTAAAGGCTGTTAAAACTAAACCAAGCAGCACGTGCACACGTGTGCAAACCTGTGCGTGCATGGACACAGCTGTGTGCACAATGCACACGTGTGCGGGGGCACACATGCGACCACATACACACATGCGTGTACACAGCTACACACACACACATCAGCATACAGCAGTCTGATGGGCCCTCAAAGCCCACGCAGATCCAACCACCCGCAGATGGAAAAACTGGTGACAAGGTGTGTGCGCTGGCACAGAGGTGTCCCCTGTCACCGTGCCCTGGACAAGCCAGTAGCACCGTCTGTATACCCCGACAGCGCGCTGGGTACTGGAGCCATGGAGACGGGATCTGAGGTCCGTGGGAGGGCGTGCAGCGGTTTTGTGCCCACAGCTGCCCTTGTATGTGCCGGAGCCTCTGTGGGTTTTGTTAGTCATGGGAGCCCTGGAACCGGGGCCCCCGACACCGGGCAGTGATTGTGTTTATTACCTAAAGGTCACCAGCTGCCCACGCCGGGGACCACACAGCACCATCGGGGCTGGGGAGATCTGCAAGTTCCGCTCCACACTCTGCACTCCAGGTGGCACGTCTTACACTGATATGGCTCAGGCAGGCAGCTGGCGAGGGCTGGCGAGCTGGGGGTACCTGCAAACCACCAGCCCCTGCCCCACGCGTAATCCTGTCCTCCTAGTTGTCAATCAAGACGCTCCCTTTCCCAGGGCGCATCTGCTTCTCCCGGGGCCCGGGGGGAAGACACCGAGAAAACACGGATACTGAGCTCCCCGTGGAAGCCTGGAGGGGCCGCGTGATTCCCAGGCTGCCTCACGCCTGTAGGGGCACCGCCCCCACCTCGTAAAAGGGGCCAGCACTGGACGCGGCTCTCGCTCGCTCTCCCCCAGGGACACCAAGACTGCAGGAGGCCCTGGGGTGCTCTCTCCCTGCCTCCCCTCCCCCACCCGTCTCCTTGTGGGTCCACTGCCCACTCCTGGCACTTTCTGTGTGTGGGGCCACCCGTGCTCGCATGTCTGTGTGTGCTCATTTTCTGACCTTTGGAATAAAATCCACTGTATTTGCGTCAGCACTGGGAATGCTGCCCTTTGTGCCTGGCAGGAGCCCGGGATAAAAACAAACGGCCCCTCACCCCAGGGAGAGGCAGGGGCTTGCATTCTGCACCTGTGCACCCCTGCACCTTGCACCTATGGAGCCCCAGTGGGTGCTGGGATGGGGGAGTGAGCGTGAGACACGCAGAGCCTCAGCCAGCGTGCGCCCCGCTGACGCGCACACTCACTGACGCCCGGTATTAGAACCCTGGATTTGGGGAACGCACGCCCTGCCCACTCGTTCATAATCCATGTCAAATCTCCGGAGGCTAATGACAGCTTTCTTTGAAATAAAGAGCACCTGCTCCTGAGTTGATCAAATATTAATTCTAGCTGAAGAAGCATTGTGGCGATTTGTAATGAAGTGATTACCAGGTGTTCTCGGGGATGAAAGGGACTCTGCATCTATATATTTAAATTTTCATTTTCATCGTGCCTGCTGGAGCCCGTGCGTGCTGGCACAGGTTAAGCCAACGGGCCCCTGCCGCCAGGGCTCACAGAGCTTGTTCCCGGAGGCGCGGGCGGCACCCATGGGAAGGGTGAACCGGAGAAGGCACGAGATGCCCTGGTGGACGTGGTACTATCTCTCTCTCTCTCTTTTTTTTTTTTTTTTTTTTGACAGGCAGAGTGGACTGTGAGAGAGAGAGACAGAGAGAAAGGGCTTCCTTTTCCATTGGTTTACCTCCCAATGGCTGCTGCGGCCAGCGCACCGTGCTGATCTGAAGCCAGGAGCCAGGTGCTTCTCCTGGTCTCCCATGGGGTGCAGGGCCCAAGTACCTGGGCCATCCTCCACTGCACTCCGGGGCCATAACAGAGAGCTGCCTGGAAGAGGGGCAACTGGGACAGAATCCGGCACCCCGACCGGGACCAGAACCCGATGTGCTGGTGCTGCAGGTGGAGGATTAGCCTGTTGAGCTGCGGCGCTGGCCGCAATAGGCATTCTTAAAATAAATGACTGACTTGGGCAGGACAGTTTCATCGGCTACAACACTGTTTAACCGTGATCCAGACAGCTTTGCAGAGCGTGAACCTGGCCTGGCCCCTCCCACGCAAAGGCCTCCAGGGCTCTCTGGCGCCCAGCTGTGCGGCTCCCGGTGCCAGCTTCGTCCTGGGAGCAGAAAGCGGAGCCTGAGACGCGGTGTCGACTTTGAACTCTGTCAGCCACGGGCGCTGAGGACGATCACCACGCACGTAAAGAACCCACAAAAGGACCAGGCAGGCCGCATTAGAGACGCTCAGTGGCTGTTCATGTGTGCACCTGGGGCCAGGGATGTCGTGTGGCAGGTAAAGCCGCCACCTCCAGTGCCAGCATCCCATACAGACACCATTCGAGTCCCGGCTGCTCCTTTTCTGATCCAGCTCTCTGCTAGTGCATCTGGGAAAGCAGTGGAAGACGGCCCAAGTGCTTGGGCCCCTGCACCCACGTGGGAGACCTGGATGAAGCTCCTGGCGGCTCCTGGCTTGGGTCTGGCCAAGCCCTGGCCATTGCGACCATCTGGGGAGTGAACCAGCGGATGAGATATTGTGTGTGTGTGTGTGTGTGTGTGTTCCTATCTTGTTGTAACTTTGCCTTTCAAATAAATAAATCTTTAAAAAAAAAAGTGCACTCAGGCTAATGAGGCAGTTCTGCCTTCACCTAACATCATCCCCTGCTGCGTCTCAGGCCGTGTCCCTCTCCCCTGACCCACCAGAATGAACAGGAACAGGAACAGGAACAGGAACCTGGTCAAGCCACGTGGGGGTTGTTTGTGCGTTAACCCTGCAGAGAACAAACACCAGTTCGAAAGCTGTGCCCCTCCAGGGGTCCTGCGTGTCGGGCTTGGTTACTAAGGCAGTTGCATCACCTAATTGTCCCCGAGTACATCTCCCGGAGATGCGCAGCTCCCAGGATTCACAAGCATGTCCCAGGAAGCGCTCCTTCAATTAAGTCCTCCGTGGACGGAGCCGGGCACGACGGGGAGGCAGGCGGGCAGCTCAGACTCCAAGAAGCCCTCACAGGCACCCCGCCCCCACCTCGCTTTGATTTCTTTCTGGTTGCTCTTAGAACCCTCAATGCAACGGTCTGCCCTGAGCCGGCCAATCGCCCAAGGCAGGGGCTGGCTCGGTGTCAGGTGGAAAACCAGAAAACCTGTGCATGGCAAGGACATTGCCTACATCCCTGCACGGCCTGCACCCGTCTGGGGTGGCGGCTCAGCTCCTGAAGTCCCTCCACACGAGCAGTAGTTCAAAGCTGCCCTGTGTTACCGTGTGGCTCTCAGTTTTCCTCATCAATGAAATGGGGATAAGATGGAAAGTCCATGAAGGACCTAGCCGGTTCCGAGCATACCGGAGATGCTCAGAGAGCCGGGATTCTTCTCCCCACTCCCTGGGAGAAGGGGCGGGCACTGCCGGACCGGAGTCAGAGGAGCTGATGCCCAAATGGTTAGGATCACCTCTCACATTTGCGCAGTTTCTCAGTCCACAGAGCCCCTTCCCAGGCGGTCACTCATTCACCCCCCAACCAGCAGCCCTTGAGAACCAGCCATTCCCTCTTCCTTTAGAGCGAGGAATCTGGGGTACACAGAAGTGGAGGGACCGCCCCATGGTCTTGGGGTACGAGTGCCGGAAGCAGGACTGGGACACAGCTCCACGATGCCCCCTTGTGTCCTGCCCGCCCCTCCTCCAGGGGCCCCAGGCCGAGCCTGCCATGAGCACTGCCTGGAGCTGGGTCTGTGCAAGCCACTCCTTGCGCCTCCCGTTCTGTTCCCTGCCCCAGCCTGCACCTGTCAACCCCTCTGCGTCCACAAGCTTCGGCGTGGGGTCACGGGCGGACGGGGTCACTGTCCGTGTCTTCTGACCTTGCTCCTTCCTCCTCCCCCTCCTTTCTAGATTTACTTATTTGTAAAAGCAGAGTTAGAGAGAGAAAGAGAGAGAGAGAATCTTCTTCCATCTGCTGGTTCACTCCCAAATGGTTGCAAAGGCCAGGGCTGGGCCAGGCTGGAGCCAGGAGCCAGGAGCTTCAACCAGGTCTCCCCCGTGGGTGCAGGAGCCCAAGCACTTGGGCCGTCCTCCACTGCTTTCCCTGCTTGTGGGCAGGAGTCACCTTGCTCACAGCAGGAGGCCCCAAGCCCCTGGCTCACATCCAGCTGACACCTGCTGCGTCCACACGGTCAGCACTGTCCACACCCGGCCAACACCTGCTGCCCGCACGTGGTCGGCACTGTTCACACCCTTTCACTTGCACGATTGCACTGGATTCCCACAGCAGTCCTGTGTGGTATAGACTCCATCAAACCCACTTTATAGCTCATGAATCATAGCCCAGAGGGCCTGAGCGACTTCCCCATAGTCCCCCAGTATTAGGGTCAATTTTATGTGTCAAATTGGCAGGGCCGCAGTGCCCAGATATTTGGTCAAATGCTATCCTGGATGTTTCAGTGGGGACGCTCTGGGTGGGTCAAACATTTATCGGTGGACAC